GACTGACCCTGCCCCATCTATTCTCTGCCTCCTGAGTCCCAGCTGATCGGCTGAATTGTCTTTTATTGACCTGCACAGGAGAATGGAGCTGGAAAGCAGGTTAGTAGGGTGGGGAGGGAAGGGGGATTTTGCAGTATCCTTCCTCTGTCATGGCCACCAAGCCACACCTACAGAACTGGTAGTAAAAAAAATTTGAATCCCACCACTACTTCCGAGGGGCAACAGCTGAGGGATGAGACTGGGCAACGATTGCACATCCATGTCATCAACACCCAAAGGCTGTGAGTTACATACATGGAGACAAGGATGTCATCACCGCGCTTATTATTGGATGGCATCATTTTGCTATGTCGTTTAGACTCTCCTGCAGCTTGTTCCCAATTTTGCTGCAGTGGACCAGCAGCCTCATCTGAAGTAGCCTTTTCTATTTAAAGGATAGGAACAGGAGAACTATTCTGTGGTCTCATGTGATGGCTACCTTCAGTAACAATTTACACCTGAGCCTCTGGCGTCTAAACCACCTCAGCATCGGCTCCTATTGCTTTCCCCACCACCTCAGCCAGCCACCAGGTTGCCCCTATTTCAGCAGGCTCCTCTTCCAATCTCTGAAAGTCCCCAAGAAGAGCCTTTCCTTGGATCTTTGCAAGGGTTTTCTTGCAAAATGAGCACTCCCTTAGTTGCAGCCTGTGATTTTGCAAAGGAAAAGGCCGGTCTAAGGCCTCTTGCAATCAGGTTCTTCGGTGACTTCCTGCCCTTCCGTTTAGAATGCATCGGAGAAGCAGAACCTCAAGACCTTCTTAGGTGAAACCACCTTACGAGCTCCCCATGGAAGGCACGGCGAATCTTCAAATGGTGAGCAAATCAGGGGCTGAGAGGCGGCCACAGAATCTCAAGCAGGAGCCCTTGGGGACCGCTGTATGCTCGCTGCATGCTCACTGAGCTTAGGCTAAACAGTAAGACGCGTCCCTCCCAGAGTTTTCCTTTTTAAATAACTTGAGGGTCACCTAAAGCAGATACTGTTTGCGACTGTCCTCTCTGATCAGGCAGATTTTGCAAGGGTGTGATATCCATTTGCGTCTCACTTGAATGTCATTCTCCTTTTCTTTCCCTGATGTTTATTCCCCCGAAAATCCGCTTCCTTCATAGACTCTCGTTTCTTCTCTCCCTAAAGCTAAATAATTCCATTTCGGAGCATTCAAGAATGGAGCTTCTAGTGGTTGCCATTTCCTCTTTGCCTGAAAGAAAGATCTGAAAAAGATAAAAGTAAACGGGCATGCCCCGATTCATTGTTTGGAAACAGGGCTGGATTGAGAGGAGCGGGAGTGTTGCCGTGAAGTGACATATAGAAGGTCTTAGGTTTTCCCATAAGTTAGTGAAGGAAACAGATTTGATTCTGTTGGTTCCAAACGGGGCCAACAAGATCCCTTGGAGGGGGGAGATTTGAGGTTTTTAAGGATCGGGGGGATGCTTTAAATATTCTCAAGGCTTAAACCACCCCCTTTTGCCCCTTAAAATGTCTCTCCAACCCCGAAGAAAGCAAAGCAATCTTAAAATGTTTTTTCAAATGGCTCCTCTGAGGCAATCTTGAGTGTTGAAACTTTGCAGCTCTTAAGTTACATCTTGAGGCATCCCTACTCTCAGAAAAAGGGTAAGCTGTTCTTCTAGTAAGTGAGTGCCTTCAACCAGGGGTGGGATTCTGCCAGTTCGGACCGGTTCGGGGCGAGCCCCTAGCTCCAATGATGAGCTGGCTCCGAACCAGTTCGCTCCGACAATCCGGATTGCCATGCCTCAGCTGTGTTACTTCCCCGAAGTAACATTGAAGGTAAGTAATTTTGAAAGCTGCGCACGTGTGTGCAGCGCACTCAAAGTTATTATACTGGCAGCATCCCACCACTGGCTTCAACTCTTTCATCAACTTCAACTCCTAAATCAACTTTCATCCCCCAAATGAAGAGATTAAAAGAAGGGAGGAGGAGGAAAATGGCTGCTATTTTAGACCACTTTGCAGGATTAGAGAAATGCTGCCATAAGAAATAGTCTGCTTTTAATTGTGTGAAAAGCAGCACCTGAATTTAGTTAGATCTGGTATCTTGCACTGAGGATTTCAAACCTGGAAGATTTCCCATCATAGCCGTGTGGTGAAATCCTAAGGCCTTCTGGGTTCTACATGTCAAGCGACTGCATTGCTTCATTCCCGAGGCCTCTTTGGTGTTCTAGAAGAGCCGGGAAGAAGTTTCGATCCACACACCATATGCATGCACCAGAAGCCTCTTCCGACTGCTGAACGTTTCGTGACTGGGCTGAGCGCCAGGCCTCCACGGAGTGAGGTTTTGAAAGCTTGGATCTGCCTTCGCAACCAGTTTGTTGACTGGGACGGCCCAGCCAAAAAAAAGGACACCTTCCATTCCTACCAGTGTTTCTCAACTTCAAGCTTCAAAAGTGTGGATGTCTTTAACATCCAGAAGTCTAAGAAACACTGCCCCACTTGTAGTGGTATGCAGGAAGAACCATGGGAGACGGACAAAGAGTGGCAGATTAGAAAATGGTGGGATAAATGCCAGCTGAGCCTGCAGAAGGAAGAGGGGCATAGTAAATGTCTCGGAAGAGATCTTTCCTGGTTTCTTGGATTGTAAAAGTAAGAGGAGAGAGAATTGCACAATCCTGTTAATGTAATTTTACTATGAAGTTACAACTAGTGCGGTACCTCTGGATGTGCTTGTCTGGACAAATCACACAAACCTACCATGTCCATAAATATCAGACCACTACAGTCCTACTTAAATTCTCCTTAAGGGATGTCATGGCTCAGGGGTTAAGACGCTGAGCTTGTCGATCAGAAAGGTCGGCAGTTCGGCGATTCGAATCCCTAGCGCCACATAACGGAATGAGCTCCCATTACTTGTCCCAACTTCTGCCAACCTAGCAGTTCAAAAGCATGTAATAAGGCAAGTAGAAAAACAGGGACCCCTTTGGTGGGAAGGGAACAGGGTTCCAGGTGCCTTCGAAGGCGTTTAGTCCTGCCGGCCACATGACCACGGAGACGTCTTCGAACAGCGCTGGCTCTTCGGCTTTGTAACGGAGATGAGCACCAGCGGCCCCTAGAGCCGGAAACTACTAAGACGTATGTGCGAGGGGAGCCTTTAACTTTACCTTACAGTTCTCCCAGAACACTTGCATTAGAAAGAACTATTTGATACATCCTGTTTTATTCCCTAGAGAAGAGATTAGCAAGAACTTAATCATATATTTCTCTCTTAACCCAGACATGACACCCCAAGAATTTCAGCTGGTCTTTTCTCCCAACTCTTACTGAGATTCCTCTTCAGGTTAGATTCTCATTTGCTCTTTCATACTTCTCTGTGAATCCACATCCTGTCTACATGCTTGAAGACTGGTGGCTAAACCACAATAATTGTGACGCAGGGGGGGAAACCCCACAGCTTCTGTCCTCTTTCTCTACTTTCTGCAAATATATGATCTGATCTGAACTGAGTCCGTGAAAAGTCTAGTTTTATAGGTAATCCTCAACTTACCATCACAGTTGGAACCAGAATTTTCACTATTAAGCACAGCAGTTGTTAAATGAGTTGCAGATGATTTTATGACTTTTTAAAAATCCCAGTTATTAAGTGAATCACTGCAGGTTGTTAAGTGAATCACATGGGGATGCGAATCTGGCTTCCCCCAATTGACTTTGCTTGTTGGACGCTGTCCAGGAAAGTCATAAATGGCAATGACATGACCCCCTGGGATGCTGCACTATCGTAAACTCATGCCGGGCTGCCGAGCGTCCAAATTTTGATCATGCAACCGTAAGATGTTGCAATGGCGAGGACCAATTTTTTCCCATCGTGCCACTGTAACTTCGCTTGCTTAAACCGATGGTTATACGTTGAGGACGTATAGGGCCAAGATATAAGTAGCAGAGTTGGAAATTGGCTGCAGGAAAAACTTTGAGGGTTCTTTGTGACTACAGGGCTATACATTGTCTTCGCCCTCCCTGCTGTCAGCCTTAGAAGCCATATTTTATTTAGGAGCTTCGAGGCTTCCACATGTAGTGCCTGGGAATTTGGGAGCGGGGATTTCATAGAGAGGTGGAAGAATAGAATAGGATAGGATAGGGTAGGGTAGGGTAGGATAGGATAGGATAGGATAGAATAGAATAGAATAGAATAGAATAGAATAGAATAGAACAGAACAGAATAGAATAGAATAGAATAGAATAACAGAGTTGGAAGGGACCTTGGAGGTCTTCTAGTCCAACCCCCTGCCTAGGCAGGAAGCCCTACACCACTTCAGACAAATGGTTATCCAACATATTTTTTAAAACTTCCATTGTTGGAGCATTTGCAACTTCTGGAGGCAGGTTGTTCCACTGATGAATTGTTCTCACCGTCAGGAAATTTCTCCCTAGTTCTAGGTTACTTCTCTCCTTGATGAGTTTCCACCCATTGCTTCTTGTCCTGCCTTCAGGTGCTTTGGAGAATAAGTTGACTCCCTCTTCTTTGTGGCAAGATATATTGAAACGCTGCTATCATGTCCCTCCTAGTCTTTCTTTTCACTAGACTAGACCTACCCGGTTCCTGCAACCGTTCTTCACCTGTTTTAGCCTCCAGTCCCCTAATCCTCTTTGTTGCTCTTCTCTGCACTCTTAGATTAGACTCAACAACGTTCTTTTTCTGAGTCAAGTTGCCCTGCAGCTGGAGAGGAGTGGTTGGAGGAATGTCTCCAGTTGGGACAACGGGTGATTGGACCATGTGATGGACTGGTGGGTGGAGGGGGATGGGATTTTGATTTTCAATTATAAAGGGAAAAGCCAGGACTCTCCGATTCGGGTTTTCCCAGATGATTTCTTCAATAAATTCTTACTTGGATGAACTTTGTTTCTGAGTGCTGAATGAAATGGGGAGTTTCATTGGAACACTGACACCCCCATCAAGAGGAATGAGACCTAGAAAAATATGAACCAACATTGAATCTTACTGTCTTATTCTTTCTAGGCAGCCATGAACGTCTCTTATTGCCTCAGCAATGTAACCGCGGTGGAAGAAGTCATGCGCCATATAGCGATCATCACCAATGTGATCATCTTGGTTTTGGGCATTTCAGGCAACGGGCTGGTCATGTGGATCATAGTTACACGAAAGAAACACAAAACATTCACCTCCATCTGCTATTTCAACCTGGCTGTGGCCGACTTCCTATTCTCCATGGGCCGCATCCCTGCCCTTGTGCAAGAGATCATGTACCAGCAATGGCCCTTCGGCCTCGCGCTTTGCAAGGTCCACAGCTTTGTCCGCTATCTCACCACCTTCACTAGCGTCTTCGTCCTCACTGTTATCAGCCTTTATCGATGTCTGATGGTAGTAAAACCTGTGTGGGCCCGAAACCACCAAAGTCCCCGTTTTCAAACCCTGATGTGTATTGGAGCATGGACCCTTGCTCTGTTCTTCAGCCTCCCTTACCTGGTAGTCCGCACGATCGAGGTCAGAAACGGTGCCTCCTGTTGCATCTATCACAAGGCTCTCAAAACCTCGACCGAACTGCCCCTGAGAATGAGCAGGTTCTTCGGCGGGTTCCTCCTGCCCTTCATCATCATCTCTGCAGCTTACTCCATTCTGCTTTGCAAGCTTCGTGAACGGCGCTGGAAGGGTTGCCACCGCACCATCAGCCTGGTGGCTGCCATTGTCGCCCTTTTCTTCATTTGCTGGCTGCCCCACCACGTCTTCGTGCTGCTGAACACCGTTTGGACCAAAAATGCCCTTTGGGGAATTGCGCTCAAGGTTTCCAATGCGTTGGCCTACTTGCACAGCTGCATCAACCCAGTGCTCTATGGCTTTGTGGGCTACCTCCGGAGCAGGGGCCTTCGCCGCCGAGCTTCCTTCTTGGGACTTTTCCGCAGGGCCCTCATTGAAGAGGATACGTCATTTGCGACAGAAGCATCAGAGAATCTTAATCAGAAAACTTAAGTAGGCAAGGAAGGTTGGGTGTTTTCTGTTGCATCCTCCAAGAATATGATGATGGTGGTGTTGCTACATTCAGTGTTTGGGAAAATGGGAGGGGGGATTTCATAGAGAGGTAGAAGATTAGACCCAACAACATTGTTTCTCGGAGAGTCAAGGACATGTTGCCCTGCACCTGGGGAGGAGTGACTGGAAGGATGTCTCCAGCTGGGACGAAGATTTCATTGGGCCATGTGATGGACTGGTGGGTGCAGGGGGTGGATGTTTGATTTCTCTTTTGGGAAGGGAATACCCAGAATGCTCAGATTTGGATTTTTCCAGATGTGCCAATATGACAACTGTAATAAAATGGAACTTTGAGGGAATGTGCGTCTCGAAGTTTATGTGTTTGGAGTTGTTCCTTGAAATGCTGACAATGTGTTTTTTGGCCTTGTGCTTTTTCTCAGCTTTCGGGGGGTGGGGGGATTTCCCCTCCTTCCACTTCTGTTAGATGCTTTTAAAAGACAAGTGTTGTTGCAACAAGATGACCAAGTGGTTTCTGGCATTGAAAAGATTTCTCAACCTCTCTCCTGTTCATCTCTTTCCTGTACTAAGGGAAATGGAGAATATAGCAAATAATTATTTCCTGTCTTGGCTAAGACCCTCGCCCACCCATGTATCCTGTCTTGACTTCATCCTGCATCATTTCATTCTATGACCTCCCTTACCTTGGCAAGGTTGTCCTGGTTGACTTTGGATGTGAAGAAACAGACTAAAGAAAGGACGTCTTGATGTTGAGAAAGAGTATGAAGAAATCTTTTTGACTAAAGGCTCTCACCTTTCCACAAGCAAGAAACAAGAAGGAAAAAGAAAAATCAAGGGCGTGGCAGGGGAAGGATACTGTAAAATCCCCATTCCCTCCCCACCCCACTAACCTGCTTTCCAGCTCCATTTTCCTGTGCAGGGCAACCAAAGAAGACCCAGCCAATCAAATGGGACTTGGGAGGTAGAGAATAGATGGGGACAGGGCCAGTCAGAGATGGGATTTGTTGGTTCTCCAAACTACTCAAAATTTCCGCTACTGGTTCTCCAGAACTGATCAGAACCTGCTGAATACCACCTCTGTTTGGCACCCTCTGAAATATAATAAATGAACATATGTTTCCACACTCACATTTAAGAGGTCTTCTCGACAGTCAATGCAGCCCAGCAAAAAGGATTCATCCTGAGTCCCATAGTTAGGTTTATTTTCAAGAAGGGAAGGAGTTACTATACCAAACCTTTGAAAATGAACACACCCAAATGCTAGCTGTTTTTTTTTTTTTTTTGTCAGTCCACTAAAATAAAGTCTCCAAAAACTTTATTTGAAGCTCTCCTCTCCAGGAAGCTAACAATCCTTTCCCAAAATAAGATGTCCCAAAGGCGCTTTTTTCAAGAGGCAAGTGGATTTTCCCAGTTTTTTTCTTTGAAGATGTTTCGCTTCTCATCCAAGAAGCTTTTTCAGCTCTATTCCAAAATAAAAGCGATTCTGGAGTATCCATCGTCTCGTCCACCATGTCCTGACAAACTCCTGTTTCTTTTTTTCAGCCCCAGGGATGAGATTGATGCTACAACCAGTTCTGTTCCGCAATCATCCTCTCTTATCATCTGGGGTCTAGGAGAGTTTGAGTTAGGGAAGACAGCTGTGTGATTCCACCATCAACTGAAATGCTGCACTGGGTTTTCCCTAAGATGTCCGCGTAAAAGCCCCCCTTTTCAAAGTACATTTATTTAGGTTGGGGGTTTAAGCAAGAAAAATGACTTAATTTTTTTCCCCCTTAACTCATTATGCCCCTTTTCCAGGCTTCCCAACTGCAAAAGGTGAGATAACAACAACAACTACTACTACTACTAATACTACTCATTGCACAGTCAGCAAGATGTTCAGACTGGGTTTGACACTTTTGTCTACCTATCGAGTCCTTACCAAGGACCTGGGAGAGGCAAATCTGGATGTTTGATGGTGTTAACAGATGTCACCGCAGGATGGAAGCTGTTCCAAGTAAAGCTGCCTTCTGCAATTGACCGGTGGCAAATTTGTCAATGCCGACGGTGTTCAAGTGATGCTCCAGTTGTTTTAGGACTACACCCAACCGCCTATTACTAGTGGTCCTACTCTTGCTTGCTTTTGCCATCGTCATTCTATTATTATTATTACTATTACTATTATTATTATTACTATTATTATTATTATCTCTTTTATTCATTAAACGTGAAACTCAGTCAACTGAAGATTTAAAATTGTATCACAAATATCATTGACTAGCGCTGATGGTTGATACCGGTTATTGTCGTCATCGTTGTTGTTGTGAACTGTGGTGGCACAGTGTAGTTAGAGTGCAGTACTGCAAGCTACTTCTACTACTGTCGGCTGCCTGCAACTTGGCAGTTTGAATCTCATCAGGCTCAGGGTTGGTTCAGCCTCCCATCCCATCTGGGATACAAAAGTTTAAAGTCACACTTGACAAATTGCTTAAGTTGCTGGACATTTTCCCTGCCTGGGACACATGTGCAAATAACAGACGATCTGTGTTTTGTGGTGAAGCACACCACCACTCAGGCTCCAAGGAGTCTCTGCAAGAACCACTTCCTGCCACGAGGAGATGTAGGTCTGAATTTCAGATGGCCAAGACAGCAGATTATCAGCACATGTTTGGGCGGCCTGAAGATAACGGTAAGGTTTGGTGTTCTAAACCAGGGTCTCCAACCTTGGCAACTTTAAGGCTTGTAGACTTCAACTCCCAGAGTTCCTCAGCTAGCTTTGCTGGCTGAGGAATTCTGGGAATAGGTTGGAGACCCCTGCCCTAGACCATTAATGATAAAACATTTAACAGGAGGTCCTCAGTTTATGGCAACTGCTGGGACAAACACTGAACATTTCTAGTCAGAACAGAACAGAACAGAACAGAACAGAACAGAATAGAATAGAATAGAATAGAATAGAATAGAATAGAATAGAATAGAATAGAAGACAGTGTTGGAAGGGATCTTGGAGGTCTTCTAGTCCAACCCCCTGCCTAGGCAGGAAACCCTACAACACTTCAGACAGCTTATCCAATCTCTTCTTAAAAACTTCCAGTGTTGAAGCATTCACAATTTCTGGAGGCAAGTTGTTCCACTGATTAATTGTTCTGTCAGGAAAAGTATCCTTAGTTCTAGGTTGCTTCTCTCCTTAAAAGTTGGAGTTTGTTTTTCTGTGTCATTTGCTATTCAGTCCTGGAACCTCATTCTAGCATTCATAAAGACAGTCCACCATATCAAAATTGCTTTTTGATTGGTCATGGTACTGGAAGCATTTAAGAAGGGCATAACCAAGTCAAAATGGTGGCTGCAATTCCATTATATCGCATGTTTTGATCAACAGTTAAATGTGGAAGCCACAAAATGAATACCTTAAAAGGATGGAAACCAATAAAAAATAGTGATTATCGCAACTGAAAAACTGTGTTTCCAAAATATGACTAGCCAACCAATGCTCCTAGAACTCCAGTTTTAGGGATAACTTTGAAGAAGTTTCTTTAGTACAAATGTTCTTGTGTAAAGACAACGTGGGAGAAATGTTCTTGTACAACACATATGCACACTCCAAGACTACATGCCCCAACCCATCTCCAAAGACTAAACAAAGGGGAAGAGGGAGAGGAACACACTAAGCAACCCAAAGGGCCACTTGCACAGATGACACTTAAATCAGCCCTTGTATTAGCTGTGTCTGTAATTCAAATGAAAACGTTAACCTACCAGGGGGACGGTTCTGCTGGTTCAGATTTCAAACTGGGCCTCAGCATTTGTTCACACTCCGCTCTTGCATCAGCCGCTTTCCCCAAGTGAGCTGGGAGGAATGTTCCTTCTTGCTGGCAATTGTATGTAGCCCAGAGGGGGCATTCAGCCGGTGCTGACCAGTTCTGGAGAACCGGTAGCGAAAATTTTGAGTAGTTCGGAGAACCAGCAAATGCCACTTCTGACTGGCTCCACCAACCCCATCTATTCTCTGCCTCCTGAGTCCCAGCTGATTGGCTGGGTTTTCTTTTGTTGCCCTACACAGGAGAACGTAGCTGGAAAGCAGGTTAGTGGGGTGGGGAGGGAATGGGGATTTTGCAGTATCCTTCCCCTGTCACACCCACCAAGTCATGCCCACCAAGCCACACTATGTCCACCACACCACACCATGCCCACCAAGCCACACTGCACCACACCCACCAAGCCACACCACGCCCACCACACCACGCCCAAGCCACACCACGCCCACCAAGCCACACCACGCCCATCACGCCACACCACGCCCACCAAGTCATGCCCACAGAACCAGTGGTAAAATAATTTGAATACCCCCACTGATGTAGCCCTCTTCCAAATAGCATCTCTGGGCCACCTGTAGTCACTGAGAGGACAGGTGGCTTTTTTAACAGTCCCCTTAGGGTGAGGTGGGCTCTCCCATCCTCTCTTGAATTGCCAGAATAGCCTCTAAGACTGGAGCATTGATAACGAGGCAGCATGGCATTGACTAGAGATGAGGTGGAAATGTTGGACTTACTCCGGCAAAGGAAAAGGGGCGACATATGGCTCAGGAAGTTGAGAGAAAAATCAAAGCGAGGAAGTTCTGCATTACAGATTGCTAATTTGCCAACTTGGAATAGACTGTCACCATTCTAATGGTCCCAAAGGAGAAGACAAGTTATCAATCGTGATGATGCTTCGCAGCTTACTCTCTATCCAAGTTGGTCTATTTAGGAGAGTTTGTGAATTACCCAGAATTCTTCATCACTCCATGGCATGAAGATAGGGGCAGGATAACCAATCTGAGAAGCTTGACATTGGGGTTCTACATTTCTATTAGATTTGGCGACAGTCTAAATGACCTTTGGGGAACTATGTCCATTGTTGTCCTGGTCTTCTGGATCCTGTCCATTGGGTCGAGTGAGAGGACCTTTTGAGGGCTGCTTTAGTTCAAGCAATTCTACAAAATTATGGGAGCACAGTTTATGAAA